TTTGGCACAGAGGTATTACCTTCAGCTCTGAGATTCTTCTTTGGCTTGATTGAGCCTATTCTTCAGGCTTTCCACTGTGCTGTGTAATTCCTGGAATGGATTTTTCATTTCTAGAAAATCTGTTTCGTTTTTTGTTAATACTTCAGGGTCCTCATCCATTTTTTTGTATTGTCTTTTTGGTTCCTTTGTGTTGGGTTTCCATTTTATCTTGTATTTCCATGAACTCACTTATAAACATTATTCAAAATTCATCACCTGTCATTGTAATCTTTTTATTTAGGCTGGCATCACTAGTCAAGAGTTATTGTTTTCTTTGATACAACCGTAAACACAAGTCTTCCTGCTTAAGAAGGGAAGCTTTTTTAAGGGAGTGTCCTATCACCTTGGTTTTTCATATTTCTTGAGTTTTGCTGTTGGTTTCCTCTCACTTGGCCTCTCTGTTGAGTGTTGAGGATGTTGGAACTGGCTTATGGGCTTGTCAGGGAGACACTGAGGATCAGTCCCTGACTGTGTCAGGGAGAAGAGTACTGGTCCTGAGGTGCCTCTCGGGTTATCTCTGACCTGCTCTCTTCACTTCTTACTGACAAAGTATAGTGAGTTTGGTCCCCAGCTTACCCTTGCTTACTGTACTGGTGGCAGGTTGTACTTGTGTGTATGAGTCAGCCACACCCTGTTATCTTTAACTGGAAGATGCTTTAATGTCCTACATAGTTGTTCTCCAAGTGACTGGTTGGTGATTACATGAGTTGGCTGCTAAGATGTTCCTTTGTGCAGGAGACTCTGGTCCTCTAGGTACGGTACTAGAGTGCTGCAAGCTTTAGGAGGGACCTTGTAGCTCCCAGGGGTTTCTTAGCTCCACTGCCAAGATAACGGGGGAGGGGCAAGACAGTTTATGGCCAGGTTGTGCCCAGCCAGTGGGTTGTGCTTGTCAGTCGGTGGGGCCTACAAGAAGGAAGAAGCTACAGTGCTGTTTCTGGGACCTGGACTGGCTTTAGTCCCTCTGGAGAAGCACTGGGATGCCCCAGGTGGTAGGTGGGACCCTGGGGCTTCCAGAAGAGTCCTTAGTCTCTGCTGCAGCTGAGGCTGGTGGGGGATGCAGTAGATTGGTGGTGGGCTGGTCTAGCTTGCCCCTTAGGCTCCACAGAAGCTGGCCAGTTAGGTTTTGTGGTAGGGGTTAAAGATCTGCTTCCAGTTTGAGGCTGAAGCTGCCCCACCCTGGCAGAAAGTTAGTGTATGGCAACAGGCACAGCAGAGCCTCTCTCTCCTCCCCACCCTCTGCTCCACAACCTCCCCTAAAGCAGGGAGACTTGTATTTAGGGTTGTATCACTGTGGGAGGATATCCTGTAGCTCGCATGCAGTGACAAACGGCAGCATACTCAGACTGTATTGTGCACATCTTAAGAATGAAATATATGCCTCTACCACTCTCCCAGAACATGTCTTAACTTCAGACAAATAGTTGGAGATCTTATACCCTGGGAAATGTGGAGACTGGCCTAGCTTGAGCAGGAACCAACTCATATAAGTTTTTGCATCACTTATTCACAAGGCACTGTTTAGACCTGCAAGAGATAGAGTTTGACTCTTCAAGAGTGCTGATCAGGGAGGGTGGAATCTGGGTCATCACAATGTCCCCAGTGGATCCTAAAGTAATATACGAGAGAAAAAATGAGTGCATATATGCAAGCATTGTGGTCAATTTTTATTTATATATTAATTTTTCTGGCTAATTCAATTTTCTGTGCTTTTGATTCATATGTCAAAAATGTCCAATTTCTAAAGTGATCCCCGAATTTGCAAGGTATAGAGGGCTCTCTAGAAGTTCTCTAAACCATCCCCTACTTTCTGTGTAGGAGTTATCACCAGATTAATGGCCCTGCTCCTCCTGGAATCTTCCTCATTCTTTGTTCTAGGCCTCACATGCCCCATCCAGGGGGACCAGACATGCACATCTATCATGTGCACAGAGCACACATGGGAGGCAGTGGGCCCTAGAGCTTCCCTCCCACCACAGTCTCATTCCTCATCTCCTTTCCAGTTACTCAGAGCATTAGCAGCCCCAGGAGCTGAGCAAGGAGTCTCATTATTATTTGAATAACTAGAGTAAAATTTGCCTCCTTTACAGAGAAATGTACATGTACTTGTAAAACCTCTCAAAATTCCATAGTTAATAAAACTTAGCATTTATTTTCATGATCATGGATATTCATGTTAACAATTGTCTGGCAGATTAAGGTGGTCAGCACGGTGTTTCTACTGCTGGACATTGAGCTCGGCTCAAGCCTTTGGACTGTGTTTGTACTGGGACCAAGACAGTGACTATGTCAGGAAAACATTTGTATGGCAAGTAGCAGGCCTGAACAACATCCCCAAATCAAGCTCAGCAGGCAAATGTAAGTGCAGGAATCTACCTCTAACACAGTTGCAAACATTTTTTACTTATCCTTTCACTACATTAATTTGTAAAGTCTCTGAAATATTTGCTACATTTAATTTTGAAGGTATTTTCCCATGGGAAAATAGTCATGTTTTTCATAATTCTTATTTTTCCAATAGAAAATCTTTTTCAAATATAGTCTTACATTAAATAGAAATAAAGCCAAGCATGTTTTCAACATAGGGCTTTTCTCATTGGAAAAAGAAATATCTTTCATTAAAGCAAATGACATTTAAAATGCAGCGACTTAAAAATATTGTAGATTACCTGTTAATTTGTTAAATTAAACTATCATTCAACATGCCTGAGATGCATTTGCTACTTGGCAGGTGTAACCTGCTCACAGGGATCAGCCCTGATGCTGCACTGGCATCTGTATGAACACTGAGTGACAAAGTTTCCTATGAAGGACAATTTATCCTATACACATCTTTAGGTTGTCCTGTTTGTTTTGTCAAGAGAAGGTTTTTATTTGTTTGTCAAATGATTGCTATATATTCTAGGCAATTTTCTCATTTTTCTTCTTACTCTATGGCTTAGTAGCATTTTCCTGCAATGATCTCAGACTTCCTAGTAATAAGTGAAACCACATTTCAGCACATTCCAACACAATCTCAGACCTGAAAAGTTTTGAGATTTGGGGAAATATTGCCCTTATTTGGCATCACCATCATTTCTGGAAACACAATTTCCCAAATCCCTCTTCCCTGTATGGTTTCTTGTAGGGTTACTCAATGAAGGGCCCTTTCTTCATATGTGAAAGTCAAAAGAGGATGTTTCAATATTTATTGACACTTGTAGGCAGACACCTGGACAAAGCTGAGGAATGAGGGATCCTCTGGGGGAAAAGCTGCACTGGCTGAGATCAGCAGCAGCCCCCACTTGGGGTTCCCAGACTGATCTGAGGAACAAGTGGATAAGCAGCCTATAACTTCAGTGGCAGATAGACTCTGACTATTGACAACCCCCCCAGGATTCTCCTGTGTCTGCTATCAGCATCCCTGACTACCCTAGGTGCAGGTTTCTATTTTTCATTCTACATTGCTGTTTTAAAACATTTCCTACTTGGAATCTTAAAGTAGCTTCTGTTTTGATCTATGGACCCTGACTGATGCTATGAAACATTTGTCAGGTATCATAATTGCCGTCCGTTCTTAAATCAAGGGAGTCATGGTCACATCTGCACTGGTAAGAGTGGGGAGCAAGAAAGAACTAGAATGCAGAGGAGCCTCCCAGGCCCATTCTGTACACAGCAGAATACAGTGCTTTTATACGAGTTCTCTTCTGAAGGACCATTCTCTTTCAAATCATCTCCAGATAAAAGATGTAGGAATAATGAATTTTGGATGCTCAACTGTACCCTACCGAGTGACTAGGGATCTGTGGTATGACCTAAGGACCATTCATGTGGGAACTTCACTAACTCTTGAGTCACCCAGGCCCTGGAGCCCTGCTTGATGCACGACTTCCCCCTAAGCTGGCACTGGCATCAACACAGCCTCAGGGCCACTCAGGGACCATCAAACCTGTGTGTCTTTCCAAGTCACACATGTGATTTTCCATCAGGGTTTGTAGCTCAAGCCCAACACCACCAGCCTCCCCATCCCAACAAATGTGAGCAGCAGAGCTGGGTATTGTATCAACAGCTGACACCTCCTGTCCTTCCTGGTCTCCTTTTCTACTGCTGCACCAAGACTAATATTCTTATACTTGGGGGGCAAGAATTACCATTTTCTAAATTCAGCTGAATGTAGCATACATTTTATGTGCTGTAATTCTCTCAGATTTGGTTATTTCTTTTTACAATTCAGACATGGAATTCAGAAATCTCACATTTTACTACAACATGATGTAGGGGTCCTCAGATTTTTTAATCAGGGGGCCACTTCACTGTCCCTCAGACCATTGGAGGGCTGGACTATAGTTTAAAAGGACAGGCAGTGGCTAAGCAGGACAGGCAGAGATGGCAAAACACCTGGCCGTCGGGTTAAATGTCCTTGGTGGGCCAAATATGGCCCGCAGGCCGTAGTTTGAGGACGCCTGACTGATGAAAGATTTTGACACGTGACTTTTGATTTCAAAATAGATTTAGCATAATTAAAATCCAATAATTGGACAATTTTATTGGGTACTCTCAGAAACAGTATTGGGTACTCTCAGATCCAGCACAATGCTGGATCTGTCCCTTATTACAGAGACTTCTGTTAAAACTGAGGTGTAAAGTGTGAAGGTGGGTTGAGGTGAAGGAATGGAACCTATACCACTAACTATTCAGCTTCATGTGCACCGGTAGGTATTTAACCAGAATGACATGGAAAATATATATTAATTTTAGATTGCTATGAGTCAGCTTCAATGGCAAAGCTGTTACGCTGACTTGATTTAATTGAAAAATCCTGTCTGGTTGTCACGGGGCACTTCCCCGCCTCCATTCTCCTCGAGGTTCCATCTGGCCAGGCTGGCCCAGCCAACAGTGTGTCCTGTCTGAGATGAAGCCGGGTCCTCACGGTCCGGAGCATTCACTACTGCCTGTTACCCTGAGTTCCTCGCAACTCATGGTATGGTGCCTGCTCACCAGACAAACAACACTGGTGGGCCCTGGGCCATCCAACAGGGAGGTTTGTGTTTGGGGCTGTATCACTGTGTGAGGATATTCTAGACCTTGCGAGCAGTAATAATCCCCAGCATCCTCAGCCTGCACCCTGCTGATCTTCAGGGTGAAATCTGTCCCTGACCCACTGCCATTGAACCGGTCTGGGACTCCGGAGGCCCGGTTGGAAACAAAATAGATCAGGCGCTGTGGAGACCTGCCGGGCTTCTGCAGGAACCAGTACGAATAGGTGTTTCCATCACTGTGCAGGAGGCTCTTACTAGCCCTGCAGGAGATGGACACCGGATCTCCAGGGGTGACAGCCAGGGAGAGTGGAGTCTGGGTCATCACTATATCCCCACTGGATCCTGAAAGAGGGAGAAAGAAATGCAAGGTTATCTGCAAACATTCGTAGACATTTTTCATTCTTTATTCTAGGCTAAATTATTTTTCATGTGTGCGATTTTGTCTCAGGCCCTCAAAATATTCAATTTGAAAAAGAATAGAGATTTTCAAGCCCATAGAAGTTCCCCATATCTTCCCTTCTGTCTGAGTCAGAGTTTTCACCAGTGTTTTCAGAGCTCCTTCTAGAATCTTCCTCATCCTCTTGGATCTGAACTGCACAGGCTGCATCCTGCAGGGCAAGATGTGCACATCTAACACGTGCACACAGCACACATGAGAGACAGTGGGACTCCGAGGTCCCCCTCCCACCAATCTCTTTCCTCATCTCCTTCTGTCCTTACCAGGGACCCAGAGTATTAGCAGCCCCAGGAGCTGAGCAGGGAGCCTCATTGTGAGAAGCTGGACTGAGGAGTCCTGATCAGTCAAGGCAAGGTCAGAGCTGAGGTTTTATTTCAGACTCCCAAGGGAAGGTCCTCCCCAGGGGACAGTATGCAAATCCCCTGGTGGGTGTAGTGGTGTTAGAAGAAATAAGCGGTGGGTGGGGCCCTCTCTTGTGAGCAAAGTGATGGGAAATATTGTCTGGGTTTGGAAGGAAACTAATAGAGAAAAAAATCTATTCTGCCTCAGTAGGAGAAAGGACAAATTTAATTTTTCCTTCTTTTTCCTCCACTTGTTTTTAGTTCTTCTGTGTTTTGTTGGGAAGATGACAATTT